GCCATTTTTTGGTTGCAGCCATCATTGTTGTCTGGCGGGCCCGGGCTGGGGATTCGAACCCGCCACCTTAGGTGTATGTGGCTGGCGCCGTTAGCCGCTTGAGCCACAGGCGCCGAGCCTGTTGATCTTTTTATGTGCTCAACTTTATCCTCACCTCTCACATTTTTTGCAGATAACCATAGTCATTAACGCCAACAAGAAAAAAAAAGTATCATTGAACATAAACTGCTTTGCCTTTTCATACCTTTTTTTTAGATTTACTTACGCCTTCAGTATCTTTACCAGCTTTCTCAAAGTGAAAACTTCCCAGAGCTAACCATTTGCTCCTCATTCCATCTTCCCTACTTCCTCTGCCATCGACTTCTGTTCAGACTCCTCATACACAGCCCATAAACCTTCTGCAGTCCATTCAGCCTGAGAATCTTTCTTCCTCCTCCATCATCAAAGAATGATGGTATCTATCTCTTTACCTTCCTCAACCAATGTCCTGAAAGAGTCCTTTACATTCACTACCTTTACCTTACCTTATGTTCCAAGCTAACACAATCCATGCTTCAACCACACTTCTTTACTACCGAGACTGCTCTCAACAGAGCAGGTGAAAACAGCTCTTTCAGCAAGTCCTCTTTCAAACAGCATTCCCTCGCAAAGAGCTTGAGTTCAGAATCTAACTCGGCACAGGCTGCAGCAAATACCTCCTTTGCTACATCCTCTGTCCCTACTAAAGCCTTTCTTTTTTTTAATCTAGGCCAACCTAAGCAATCAGAGAGGTAAAGTTTTACCAAGACCATCTTATTTTATTAAATGGCTTTAAAAAGCCACATTTCATGTTTGTTAAAATGTCACTGCAAAATATCACCTTTACTGATTTTTATTTGGCATAAACTGCTAAGGTTTGATACCTTAGTTCTAGCCTTTATTTTTTTTTTAAGTTTGTAGGAGGCAGGGATTGTTAGAATAAAAATGAGATATGTTTTAGTCTAAGCTGACAGCACTATGAAGAGTCTTCTTATCTATTATGCTCCTACAAGTCTGTACAAAAGTTTTTAAATGTGGTAAAAATAATACACTTTATTCTACAAAGGCCAAACTGCATCCCACAAAATAACAATTTGATGTGCCTGAAAGAAAAGCAAGGATCCCTGCAGTGGGTAGGAAACTGAACTCCTTTCAGACTCTAATAACCAAGTGTTCTATTAATCCAAAAAGCTGGAAGTAGCACTTACTAATTTAAAAGAATATATATGATTCAATTCCGTAATCTATCAAGACTAACAAAATTAACTTTTAAAAATATTTCATGCTGGCAAGAAAGTCATGTGCTATCAGTAGAACTATAAATTGTTACAATCATCCCAGAAATCAATTTGGCACTAAAAGTATTTATAATTTTGTCACAGTGATTTTTCTTTTAGAAATATAATGTAACCTTAAAAATACCCTAAAATACAGATAAAAATTTACCCACAAACAAGTTCACTGAAACTTTACTTGTAAAAATACTTATTCACAACAGAATAAGGTGATTCTCAATATAGCAAAATATTAGACAACTACTCAACAATTTGCAACCTAATAACAAAAAAAGTGTACATTCTGTTAAGTAAAAAAGAAAATCCAAAACCATGAACCCAATTGTAAAGAAAAAAAAATCTTAAAATTGACAGAATCTTCAAGAGTACTATCAGATAGTACATGAAAATAGTCTTTAAAAATTGGCTTGGTGCCCGTAGCTCAGTGAGTAGGGCACTGGCCACATACACCAAAGCTGGCGGGTTCAAGCCCAGTCTGGGCCTACTAAACAACGACAGCTGCAACCAAAAAAATAGCTAGGCATTGTAGCAGGCACCTATAGTCCCAGCTACTCGGGAGGCTGAGGCAGGAGAATCACTTAAGCCCAAGAGTTTGAGGTTGCTGTGAGCTCTGACACCACTCTACCAAGGGCGACATCGTGAGACTCTGTCAAAAAAAAAAAAAATTATCTTACCCTTAGACTTGATAATTCTACTTATAGAAATTCATCAGTAGGAAACA